TCCAATAGAATTCTTTTTTCTAAAGAATTCTATTGTCACTGCCAACATTTTACCTTCTAAATAACTAAATAACTGAACAAAAGGCAATGACCTTCTTTTTTGTCGAATTTATTTAAGACAACTGTTTATGTTGAGGTTTGATTAGTGCAGATAGAATTAGTTCCGGTGAAATCTACCACTAACATAATTATTGATCACAAGTTAGCTTCGATGAATATGATTGTCTTCTGAATAAACAGTTTGTAGAAAAACAGCAGTTGAATACACATTCTGTGTTTTCTTTTATGTCTGTTTCGAAAAATGCCCTTGGGCCGTATTGAAAGAAGAAATTCGTTCTCAGACTCCTAAGTACTCACCGAACAACCTTCGAAGTGTATACGTGAAGTTAGATTTTCTTCAACTATAAAAATCTGTTTCGGAATAAAGACGTTTCTGAACCTTTAGAAGAAATTTATAGACGAACAAGCTTTTTAATTAATTCAAAACGAAATTTTATCAAATATGTTACTATTTTACGAAGATCCCGTCATGTGCTACACTCGCGAATGTGGACTCGGCCCACTAGATCGTACGGTCATAGAAAGGTTTTTCCGCATATAGGAATTAATAAATTTTCCCAGAGTAAGCTGCAAAGAAGGACTAAAATGACTCCACGATATGCTTTCAAAAAGAAACATATTACTTTATAAACAGTTGCTTCCTATTAGCTGTTTCTCAAGGTTCTTCTAACTTGGAACTGAGAGATCGTTATCACGACTAAAGTAAAATATCGTTCATACTGAATTTAGACATCATTATGGACTTAAATTCTAAAAAATGCTACTAGGTTCTAGAAATAATTTTAAAAAAATCGATTTTGTCAGGGGGTCTTCTAGTGTGTCTTTTGCTTCATTTATCGAAAGGGAGGAGGGGGGGGGGTCTTCTAATGTGTCGGGGGGTTTAATTTAGTAGGCATTAGGTGAAACGTGAAACTTCATTGAAAAACTGTCATCTTCAATAAGTTTTCGTAGTCAAAGAGCCATATTACGTTAACATGAAGTCGTTATAGTTAGAAGAGATTTTAATAGTCTCTATTTTTCCAAAGAACAACCCAGTAAATTCGTACTTGTTGGACAATTTCGCATAATTGACTTTTTCTTCTCTTCTAAGGTTGTCTGATCAATTTCCATTTGAAAACATGAATCTAAATGAACATCGCCAAACTTTTTCTCACGCACCAGTCTTTCAATTGTCGCAGAAAATCGATGAGCATTTGAACAGAACACGATTGTTTTTACTTTGAGCCATGGAGCACATAGCTCGACTAAGTTGATAAGTAATTGATCATGATTATTGTCGCAAAAGAATGTTACGTATGTTTCGCTGGTTTCTTTCTCCTCATGGAGTGGCACATAATTTAATAGAAAGTCTACAGGTGAATATACAAATACAATACATTTTATGTGATTTGGATCATCGACAAATAATTGGTGTGGTCGAATATGTTCTTCAGTGATGAAACCTCGTTGTAAATAGTTTAGAAATTGCCATAATTGTAGTGATTCTGGGAAATATGCTCCCTTAAAAAAATGATTCTGTGTTTTTTGCTTGATGATACGATATAAATAGCCTACCAAAAATGTTAACACTGCTTGAAGCGATTCCTTCTTCGATATATCCAATTGGTTTGGTATTACTGAAGCCTTGTTCATGACTAAAAAAGAAATTCTACTATAGGTAATGACTGTCTAGGATGGTTGATGTCACTCGTAAAACCTGAGAATGATGTGAATATTGATGCATACTGAGAAAAAAATCATACCCATTCAAAATAAAGTGTCATTTCTTATATTTAAATGGGTATTCTTGCCAGTCTATGAATCCGAACTTTTCTAAGGCTATCAAAATAGCGCTTGTAAAAATGTTGGAAACTCACTCTATGTGTATTTGTTATTTTAAAGCTTAAAAGTTTTTCGAAGTTGCAAAGTTGAATTTCTCTTGAATTATAAGTTAGATGATCGTTATTTTCAGTACATCGATAGTTCAGCGGCATCTATTTTCAACAATATTGAATGATACAACAAAAGATACTTCTTATTTTTGCGAAAAATCTTTTCGGTTTCATTGATAGCTCTCGAACATTCAAGCTATTCGGATTTTGATCGATATAGGGCTAAAATTGCACAAAAAAGTCGAATTGACTTGTCTCATGACTTTGTAGCATAAAAATTACTATATTTATAATAATTTTTCGATATATATGGTCTGGTCTTTCAATTTTTATCGGTTTTGACATTATTGTTGTCCTTCATAGCATTCTTTAATAATGATATTCATGAGCTTAGTTCTCTCTGATGTAGATTCTTGTTTGATTCGTTTTTGATTTTGATTGCGTGGAGATACTACTCAGAACACTACTCGAAGATCATGATGTGAGCTGTAACTAAGTTTTGTACCCTACTATATTTCATTCAATCCAAATGCTGCACGAGTTCAACTGTCTATGTAGCATCAGTCATGATTTGAAATGCCTTCACTGCTCAGTATTTACCAGATCATACGATATGATAAGGTTTTGACCAAAAATCAAAAGAAAACTAAGTTGGAGCACGATGAAGTTTTGCTCTGAAAATGAACTGGGACAAAGCTGAGTTTCTACACATTGATGAGCAGTTTATATGAAAACCATTCACGATTTTCTATTCTCATCGTATGGTAATGGTTGGGGCAGTAATTCTTTGCATATATTTAAACCACGAATTATGTTTTTACGATGTATCACTTGCCCGGCATACAATGCCTTGGCAGCTAATGACCTGGCGTTAATAAGGGAATAGCAAATAAATGATTGTTTTACTCGCTAATAAACTACTCAGTATCTAGGTTTCGATTTCCAGATCAATATGCATGCTGACGATAACTTGCATATTAAATATTAGGATCGTCTTAAAGTTTGTCAGTTTGGCCACAGATTAAATTATCTCAACAAAATGAGAACAAATACCACTGCTTATTTCTACTGATGATACTTGGTACCTTGTCTATTGGCATTGTATATTCTTTAGTAGTGACTCTATTAAAACCCGCTTGTGGAACTACTCACCAATATTCTTTTATAGATATCAAGCAAAATTGGTCTTGCAAAATTACCTGATTGAAATTCTTTGATCAATACCTAACTACTAATCACTTAAATAAAAACCTAATTTTTGTGTTGCTCAAACGAGACGATTTCAGAAACGAAAGAAAAATAACCTTGTAAAACGATGCTTCTTGTTTTTATAATTGCTTCTGGCATTTTTTCACACCAACACGAACTACTTACGAGTTTGATAAAAAAAAAATAGTTGATATCATAACGCGTGTTTTTTTTCGAGCAAAAGTTTGCATTGGTCGCTATACATCGTCAGCCTCTTACTCAACGTTAGATAGCGCTGGATGCGGAATATAAGCGTAGGTATATGTTTCAGTCAAAGTATCGATGAGATTTGGACGTGTGGGTATGGTATTGCGGGTCCGGACGGATCTATGTGTCCTGTAATGATTAGTATAGACACATATGATGCCTACATCATCTTGCTCTGTTGAGGATGGATGTGTGGGTAAAAGGTTGACCTATGTACTCACTTACATTGAAGCCTGATCTATCCAATGAACATTTGCGCTTTCAAGTCGAGAATCATTCGCAGGTCATTCATTTTATATTTCTCTTTCGGCGAAACTCATCAGTCGCGAGCACAAACTATTTTTCAAGGGTTTGAAACACAAGCACAGACTATATTTTCCATCGAACGTTTGATATTCTTCGAATCAAGCAATAAGTAGCGCAACAACCACATATACTTTTATGTCCTTATTCACAAATCAAAACAAAGTCAACGCATCAATGAGTCGACCTATTACTTAGGTGTTGCCTTTACACAATTAATGGATCGAGATAAGTAAGGGTGTGGGTGTGAATACCAAAGACACGAACACGCATAACCACACCCACCCACACCCACACCCTCATCATCTATGTAGCCGAGTCGTCAGTAAAAAAAAATTAAAGTGATAATGGAAATCCATGGATTTTTAACACAAGAAAGACATGTTCAATATATTTAGAGACATGATAAATCTATTAAAAAATAGAACAGAAAAATGCTCATACGTGTACCTTGAAGGTGAGAAATATAACTGAGGTAATGATAGTTGGGATGCTAACAATCATTTGCAAAAACGAGAACTTACGAAAAAATATTTTGGAGGATAGCTTTCAAAAAAAGGATGAGCAAATGAGGATTTCGTATTTGCCACGAAAGAGTAGTGCAATGTCCCAGACATGCAAGCATGTGAGAAGTAAGACTGAACGATTACAGCTCTTTTTCAGAGACAAGGTATCTTTCATCTTAAGAAACATCAACGCAACGTTATATGTGTATTGTAAACGAAGGAAGAATGTACTCTGAAAGAAAACTGGTAAGTTAAATGCGAAACCTATTAACATTCTGAAAAATGTGAGATAGATATTTTTGAGATATTAACGATAAGTTTTTCATCTCTAGTCGAGAGATGATGAAACAAGATATGTGTTAGAATTTTTAACTAATGCTTATTTACCCATTTCATTCACAGAAAGTGAATGAATGTGGATACGGACGCGGGTGAAAAAGTACTTACATCGACACCCACACCTACACCCTTTATTGCTTTTAATTTTTATCAAAGTATGTATGAAATTTTGATAAATTGAATATTATGCTTTGCCGCCTTAGCAAGAGAAAAATTCAAAAAGAAATTTTCGTACTTACACCAAAACATTAAAGAATGCTAACTGTCTTCTAGTTCTTTTTTGGTGTATTGAGATTCATAAATAAATTATCATTCAATATTCATGATTTATTGAGAATTATCACATCGGATTAAACGAATATTATACATACAACAAGAAATTCATATATAAATATTCCAATAGTGAAAAACAAAAATTCCTATTGTCAGTGATAAAAAGAAAAAGATCATAATTAATTGGCCTATTTTCATTGCATATCAAGTTCTATATGCGTATCATAAACAATAAATTCACTAACAGTTTCTAATGGTGGAAAATTATTTTTTGTTAAATATTCTACAATTGCATCATTGCTTTTAAATGCTTTCTCTCGATCACTATCAAATAAACGTGTTGTAACCGTATAATGAAAATGTTTTTGATCTAGTTGTTTAAATGCATTATATGATGCACGTAAACAAAATTTACGATTTGATTGACAGATAGTTCGAAGTTTGTTTAGTTTATTTTCTCCACGACCTTTTTTCACCAATATTTTATAATGAAACTCGAAATAATATGTTTTTTTACTCCAAAATAGCCTTTTATCAATATCTGTTTGTGGTACACCTTCGTTTGATGCTAATGATTTTATTTTAATACGTTTAATATTAAACTGTTTAAAATGTTCATGTACTTCTTTCTCAATTTGTTTAACTATTGATGGATATTCACCAGAATAAGATGATGATGTTATTAATTGTATATGTTCACCTTCTAGTTGTTGTGTAGCCGAGTCAATAAATATAATTTTATATTTTGTATTTTCACATGCTTTTTCCAATTTTTCAACAATTTCTTCAGTATTATATGAACAATCAAATGTAACATGTGCTTCGAATGTACCTTTGATAATATTTGTAGGTACAAGTGTATCTAATTTTGCTTTGTATTCAATACTTAACTTATCCACAAGATTGAAAACACTTTTAAAAAAAATTCATATTTGAAAACTAAGACTTAGAATCTTTTTTTTTCAAAACTTACATGTCTATATTTGAATTATCTGTTGGATCGCCACGTATGTCTTTCATTTCACTAAATATATGTGATACACGTTTATAATCATGTATTGAACGTGTTTGAATTAATTGTTCAGCAAAATCTAAATATCTAAAACCATGAAATAAATTTTTAAATAAATAATCTTTGTTTGATTGACTTGATCTTGAACTACGTTTTCGATAATATGAACTATTATTATTTGCATTGAACATATTCATAGCTGTGAGATTTTCATAAAATGCAACTTGTTTTAATCGAAATTTATCATAATATTTTTCAAGATAAATTGGTCGAAAATCAATTTCTTCTTTAATTTTAAATTCATTAGGTAGAAATATACATTCAATAGCTAATAAATAATTTTTTTGTAAAAGTATTTCAAAATTTTCAACACTATGAATACAAACATCATATTTATTCCATAATTTATGTAATTCAAATTGATGAAAATAATCGAAATCAGGATCAAATTTTAATGGATCTTTATCAGTTGATCGAGTTACAATCATAAGATCTCGATCAGATGTAGGAGTATTGGTACCATATACCCATGAACCATAATTATAAATATTTGCTACAGAATTTTCATTTAAATTGAGCTCATGTAAAATGATTGAAATGTCAGAACGATTCATTTTATATAATTTATTTGTAATGCATTCGATGTTTTCAGCCAGTCATTGCTTTATATAAAATGATGTGGAACTATTGAGTCAGTGTTGTGCAATTCACACGTGTCGATGTGTGACTTTGTCACCGCGGTTGTCAAGTATGTGGCAATCAGAAGCAAAAACAGAAAAAAGAATGAAATATCCAAATAATAGCTCCGTTACTTTAACTACCAAAATCAACTTAATCACTGTCAGTAGATTTAGATAAACGTATAGCAATCAAAGCCCATATTTGGCTTGAAATATCAGGCTCCCTTGGAATTCGTTAGAAGGTTTCAAAACATTATCTAAAATGTATCGCAAATGCTAAATAAATGTCTGAAATGCCAAATGAAACAATAGGCGGCGGAAGCTGGAGGCTGGGTGAGGCATGAGCCTCACCAGAATTTGGTGTCTGGAGGCTCAGCCTTACCCAAATTATGAATACGATATTTTTTTGCACGATGGTTTAGACTTATCAAATGAATATTATTTCAGTGCGAAGATTCGAACTTCTAATATATTTATTTATATGTTGTGATCATAGGCGGCGGAAGGTATAGGCTTGATAGACTTGAGCCTCACCAGAAATGGGCACTATTAAGCTGAGCCTCCCCAGAATTAGAATTTCAAGGATGGGTCAAATTCGAATCTGATATTATTTGGCTAGATCAACCTTATATTAGTTAAGATATTGAAATCTTTTACGCGTTTATCTATATATAACGATGAAGCAAACTTGAAAAACGAGACGGTACTAAAGCCTACTATCTATGCCGTCATAATTCGTCACAACATCTTTGTTTTATTCACATATAGTGTTGTACAAACCAAAACGATTATAGAATAATGCAGTCAATGTCAGATCTATTTGTATTTAAGCGTTTGTCTTCATCTTCGTGATGTATCACTCATTTCTCTATATTGAGTGAAAGCACAGTCCTAATAGAGTGTGGGTGTGGACACAGGGGAAATAACAGATTCCGGGATTCCTGGGTTCCATATGATTCCGAGGAACTCCAAGATATTTTCAAGATCTAAAAAACGGTAGAATTATTTGAGAATCCTTCAGTCTCTTTTATCATACGAATGTCTCCTGTTCCATGTTCTATGATGGACAGTGAACGACCACGGTACTACTATAAAAAGTGATGTAAACATTCATGCAAGCGGTGTGCATAGTACTTAGTAATTTCGATCTTAAAAAAAGGATTACCTGACTACTTGCAATAGCTTGTATTTTAGATTGATAATCAAATTGAAAAAGATAAGTGTTAATGAAAACAAAAATAAAAACAAAACCTATAATTATTCAATAGCTGAAACCTGTGAAACAACAATAAGTAAATTAGTTAGTAATGGTGTGGGTGTGTGGGTGTGAAAGCAAAATCAACGATCCACACCCACACCCACACAGTGGGCAGCCAGGTGACAAAACCAATTTTCGAGATTCGAACCCATCTCGTAGCTAGCATTGAAGCTACTATGGTCCTGATTTAAGAGTATCTTGGATGTCGCTCTATAGCGAGTATGCATTAAATATCAGGTACCACAAAGTACGTAAAATAGGTGAATATCATTAATTAGACCATATAAGTAAAATTTATATTTTTAATTGATGATCTACTTATATTTTGTAGTCATCAAATACTTGTACAGTGTTATGTATTTGCTATATATTACAGGCCGTCCGGACTTCTTGAAGCTCTTTAGGCTATAATAAGATCAAAAACTTCCAATCAGTATGGTGAAAAATAGTCACTGATCTATAATGCAGTTCATTTGCTGGATTTTGTCAGAGTTCAAATGGAAGTTTTAATCTATCTTTTGATAGAACGTATCATCATCTATCTTCAATAGATCCTCAAAGATGCGCCATTGAACCTTTGTCGAGATTTTTTATTTTTATGACATTTTTTAGTACACCGTCATGGTCTCCCTCAAGCTCACTGAAAAATCGACTTTCGAATTTCGACTTGAAGCTTTGAGCAGAGAAAGGTCTCAATAAAACTGGTTTATTCTGAAATTCTGAAATTTCTTGGTTGCTCCTATCTTTAAATATGAACACATAACATTTTGCGCTTTAAGTAATGTGAAAAAAAGTACTTTTTCTTACACTCGTATCTCAAGAGAGAAGGAACCCAAAAATCTGAAACCATCAGAACAAACTAGTCTGATTGAAACCCTTCTCTGCACAAACTTTCAAATCGAAATTTGAAAGTTGATTTTCCAAGTAAATCTGACAAAGACCACGATGTTCTGCTGAAAATTGCTGTAAAAATCAAATATCTTGATAGAAATAAGCAAGAAGCACGAGTCTTTTTCAGAGTGTTCATAGCTCATTAGAGCCTACATAATGCACATAGTCTCGACCCAATAGCGATTTGGCAACTGGCAATTGCTTCTGATCCCTTTTTTCTGTCCAACGTGACCCACATCCTCCAGATAGCTGCGATCCATCTCCTCAATTATTTCTATCCTATCTGATATAATGATCGACAAAAAAAATTAAGAAATAACTGTTTATAATTTTTATAAAGGGCTTTTGCAGGGAAATCGAAAATATTTCGGCATTCCATGGGACTTGAAGGGTTCCATGAGGTTACAAGGGACTCCAAAGGGTTGAAATCTGCCGTTTTCACTTTGGGGTGTTGGTGTGGACGTCGAAGAAGAAAACAAAATAAACCAAAGCCAACACTCACCCACATCCACACCCTTTCGTCAACGAAGACATTGATAGAAGAAAAAAGTTACTTAGGATAATAAAAAAAAAGTTTTTTACTGAGCCTCACCTGATTTGGAAACGTTCCGCCGCCCCTGATTGGGTCTATAGATTAAGGCGTAAGAGAGTGATAGTTCAAATAAAGAAAATGGAAGCTGGCAAGAATCTGACAGTATCTTCAACTTTCAATAACTACGTAGCGTAACTTTTGAGAGGAGGTTCAAATGTCTTTGGTGTTCTCTTACTTGGACGAGACTATGAAACTCCGCTTTTGTTTTCGAAACAAATTTCGAAAACAAACATAAATGCGGACGACAGTAGGTAATCATACTGAAACTGAAGTGTATGATTTAGGCAGCGATTTTTTCAAACGACTTAGTTAACAATGTAGCAATACCGCTCTGTTTATGTACGTTGCCTTGCCTCTTGCACATTCGGATGCGTTGGCCTCTGCCTATTCGTAAAGAGAGAAAGAAACAGAAAATGTAAACGAAAACAGAGTTACCTGTCATGTTTTCATGTTGACATTAATCGACTGTGCACATTTGCGCGCATGCTTATTGCTATTGATGTTCTCTTGTTGTTAATTGTATCAACAACCAGGAAAAAGAGTCACAACCATGGCCAAACGTCCCATAGATGCATGCTTTAAGTTTTGTACTTGAATTGAATATGCTTGAATGATGGTTAGTATGCTAGTTGTGTAACTATTTGTCTTAAAATTTTTCTTCTCGTTATCTTTCTGACAATAAGTATGGTTTTCTATTGCCGAAGTATATCTTTGCGAAAAAGTTTGTCGGCAAATAGAACCATATAACTAAATATTTTCGATTATAATAGGTTTATTTTTTAATTTTTTTCGGTTTTTTCGTAGAAAAAAATTAAAAACCACAGATACGCTTATCTGAAAGACAACACAGCAACTGGAAGATTAAATAAGGAAAATATGATTGTTTTATTCCGAAAAACAAATTTATATGGACACATGATCATCGACGAAAAACGACTCTGCTAAACAATGACCTACAACTCTGCTTCTCATCGGACAAGAACCTTTAATAGTCATGAGATTGCGTCGTAATCCGAGAAGAACAACAACAAAGATAAGAGAGAGATAGCAAATCACTACGATGGACAATAAGACAGAAACAAGTTGTACTATCTATAAATCGGCGTGCTTTTTGAAGAAAACTAATTTTCTCAAGAGAGAATTCTAACAATAGTTTCTTCGTTGGCATTTCTTATAATCTAATTCAACATAACAGAAAGAAAAAGGTCATCAGTCGGAAAGTTTGAATTTTATGTCTTATTTTTAGATGAATGTTTGCTATATCAGTCTGCGTACAGGGTATAGGAGCGTGTGAAAGTGTAGATCTGACGTGGAGGTTCGCATATGGGTATGGGTGTATGTGCGTGTGAGTGTGGTGTCTGGGCGAAAATTATATGGGCTAAATCATTCGTTAGCGACGTAACATTGCAAACTTGGAGGTATGCATATCTTGGAATTATCTGCTGGTTTAGGTGTGATGTTTGCATTTTGTACGAGTCTCTATTTACTCTAGATGTCATGAAAGAATTAGCACTCTAGAGCTTTGCCCAGAGGAGTTCTTAACGAAAAACTAGCGTTATCGACGTGACAACAAAAAGCACATCACCTGTCATTTGATATACAGTAAAACCTCTCTAATGTGAACACCATTGGACTTTTCAAAAGTGTTCACTATACGGGGGTGTTCACTTTATAGAGGTTACGCACATTTTGCTGAGAAGTGAAGAAAAAATTCCGAACGTCTACTGCTGTACTAGTCTTCAGTCAAGCAAGAGCTATTTATTTTTTATTCATTTATTTTTATTTAAATGTTTTGTAGTTAAAAATTTTTAGATACAAGAGAGGCTTTAGTTTTGTTTAAAAAAGTCTTCTAATGTCGTTTGTCTATTTGTTTTTGAACTGATATGAACATTAGTTAACTTTGATTTTAATTCATTATTCGATTCAACTTTCTGTTGCAAAGTAAGATCATGTCGTGATGACATTTTTTTAATGAATATTTGACTGCGTTTATTAGAAAAACAGAAATTATATATAGGAGAGAGATAATTAGGCGAGCTAGGAAAAAAGTAGAGTCTTCTTCGTCTGTTTAGAAAATGAACAATAGGACGAATTGAGACAATGACCTTCTTATTCAGAACAGACGTCAGTTAGGAAAAGTAGGTCAGACGAACAAGACATATGTGTAGCAGCTGAACAGAAAAAACAAGAAGTGGAGCACTATGTAACAGAGAGAGAAAAAAAAACATGTACGTCTGTTCATATTAGAGAGGTTATAGTAGATAGACGGACTAGAAAAAAGTGTTCATGTTCAGAATAGAGAGGCGTTCACAATAGAGAGGTGCATTTCCAGCAATAATCGCTCCGTCGGACCTGAGACTGTTCAGAATAAGGAGTTGTTCACTATCGAGAGGTGTTCATTATAGAGGTTTTACTGTAGTTTGGTTTTTAAAAATTTCCAAGTGTTGCAGAGTTGCCGATAACTTAATGCGTAATACTAGGCATGACTCCTAAGGCTACCAAATCTCGGTGTAAAATTATTTTGAGCATGTCTAAATTTTGCAAAAAACAAAATTTATTTGGCGTTAGCGATCTGACTGAGTATGAGACTTCACTACCAATCAAATGCTCTGGTAACGAACTGAAAAGTTCGAAATAGATTCCAATGAGCTCATGTTAATGGTAGGAGTCCCTAGAATAATGCTAAGACAAATGTTTTCGTATAAGTTCTGTCTAGAGGTTCTGAAAGATCGATTTTTTTTTAGGGAACTTTTTGAAGTCCGATCTTGCTGAAAATTTTACCCTATATGCGGCTCATACCCTAGAACCTATGCTGAAGTTTTCAAGTTTTTTTCTTATTCGGTTATCGAGATATTCGCTAATTACTTCTTAATTAGTTAATCATTAATTACTTAATTAATTACTATGTGAAAGGGTAGACAATTTTACATAAGCCTATACAAAAACAATTTACTCAAAAAACCAATACTGATAGAGATTTGCTTTCAAAAACAACGTGTGACTGTCCCGTTTTCGCTAATTTAGCCCATATACAAATACACATTCACGCCTCACACCCACACCCAAAAACATTTATTAATCTTCAAATAATACTATGGATCGAAACAGAAAGTATCTTTCCTGCTTTACTATTGAATGTTTCATCTATGTCAATTTTAAATTATTGGAACAAAGAAGGTGTATATGATCAAAACATGCAAATACTTAACACACAAATCGATTGATATTTCATATCATACATTACCTCATTTATTAATTAACTCCTGTTTAGTTAATGAACTCATTTGTATTTGTCAATGTCATCGATTGAACGTCATACATCTCAATGCTTTTATTGTCAAGGATTATCAATCAGAAGAAGACATATTACTTCATCTAAATCAATTATTTCATTGTCTAACCCATCTAAACGTTTGTTTTCTTGAAGGTAAGAAAAAAACTTTGGATATTTAGAATATTCATATATAATTTGATTTGATAGAAATGAACATATCATTTAAACCATTAGAACCATTTTTATTCAGAATCTATCAATCAAAACATTAATCGAATCTAATTTTCAATATACTTTTTCAAGAGATATCCTAATGCATAAAAAATATAAGAACTTTGCTTTTTTTCTTGATGTCCTTCTTTTGGCTTGAAGGAAACTGTTTATATATCGCTTATGAACAAGACAGATTATCGGAAATGAAAACATCAATTTATAATTCGTTTAAATGAATTCAACTTCGATAATATACGTTTAACAAGTCCAACTGGTTCATTGAATCAATTAAATCTTGAATATGTTGTATTCGACCGAGTATCAATGCTCAATGCTCGATTCTCACTTGTTAATCTGAGAGAAACATCATTTATCTACTCACGATTAAATAATGTCAAGTTTTCAGATTCATTATTAGCTTATGCTAGTTTCGACAGTACGGAATTGCATGGAACAGACTTTGGTAATACAAATATGATAGATGTGCAATTTTTCAAATATGTACAAATAGTATACTACCGAACGCAACAGCATGTGAACAAGCAAAAACAACCAGTAGTAAGCTAGTCAATTTACTTCCCATATCAACTGGAAACATAATTCTTTTCTAGCACCATACATGATAATGACATCGACAACAACGACAAAAGAAGAACTTTCTACAACACAACTAAGTAAGGAAAAATTTTAGTTCTGATTTAAATAGGTTTTTGAGAGAACAAATATCATATAGCTCGTTATTTTCATCGACCTCTAGAGAATGAATCCCATGAATTGTTAATTTATCATGTATATCGAGTCAAATCATACAATCAATGAAAAAGGAAATCTTCAGCGTTTTTTTGTATCTTTCACTGCAACATTCATTGACGTTAATTAAACATTTCGTCATTTTTTTCATATTTTAACGATTGATGATATCACCACTGAGTTTCGATCTGCCATTGAAATACAGACGCAGCTATCCAATGACTAAAAACATGGCAAAAAGTGATATAATTTACATCATTTTCTTGAAACTTTTTTGATTAAATGTGATGATAACACATGAAAGACATATCACTTTCGATGATGAAACAGACCTTATTTTTTATATTTGTTAAATTCATGAATGAAAATCGAAATTTTCATTCATAAGAATAATGAAAAATGCACAAAAATCATTTGATGAAAATGATTAAAGACACATGAAAGTCCTATCATGAAAAAGATAAAAATTTTGCTAGAATCATTATCGCTATTTGGTGCAAAGAAAACGAAAAACGGTAAGACAGAATTTCTCCACCTAAATCTCGGCAACATCGAATCTCCGGTAGAATTTCAAGAAATTTTTAATTCAACCGGTATTTTGATAATATTGCTGAAATTTCGATATTGTCGAAATTCCCACGATATTACGACAATAAAATTTTCTGCTGGATATTTTATTGTCCAATGGTCGCTGAATGTATGACAATTTGCACATAACCAGAGTGCCGAATATAGCAAAAAATTCAGCTTTCTCTTAAGTAACCACGAAGACGATAATTACTTTGTCAGGGATAGAAGTTATTAGATAATAAATTAACTACAATTTTATTTTCTTTAAATAACATCAGTAACAAATAAAACAGGTGTAGGTGCGTGATAAAATTCTGCGGTTTCAAAAGTTACTGAAAATCGTAACTGAAACCATTAAATCAACAAATACATGCAAAAGTTTTAAATGTTTTGCGATATTTTCATTATTGCATTGTTCAGATAAAACACACCACACATTTCGATACTTACACAAAACAAAATTGTACATGTTTACACTGTAAAAAAGATCCGGAGAATAATAAACGCTTAAAAGGGCTGATAAAAGTTCAACATATAAAACCCTTGTCAATCGTTTATGAGAGGATCGTAAATCCTGCGAAAAATCCTTTCCAAAAAGAATATGAATAGATTTATGAAAGGGTTCATAAGATTCATAAATCCTTAAAAGGTTTGATATACGTTGTACTTTCATAAATTCATTGTTATGGGTCATGAGCATCATAAACATTTTTAAATACTCTTCGGAACCCTTCTGAAAGGATAAATGAAGATACAATACTTGAGTATCACATTTCGAAAGGATATTCAAAAGCGTTTATGATCATCATCAATAGTCTAAAAAGCTTATAAAGAGGTTTATGAAAGGATTTATTGACTTCATAAAACATCTCAAAGATTTATGAATAGGTATATGAAGGATATTATCAATCTCATCAAAAACCTAACGGTTTCATGAAAAGGTATATGAAGCATTCTAACAGCAACATTAATAGTATCGAAGGGTTAATAAAAGACTGAATAGGGAGATTCATTGTCATTGCTAAGCATTCTTCGTGTTTATGAAAAATATTTGCGAAAATGACTAATATTTTTTCACAATTACTGGTGATACATGACCGTAGTATGTGAGGCTTCGTAATTATCAGATACTGGCTTTCAGGCTTACGAAATGTTAGACGAAACTGTCTTCGACCATCGTCAATGTATCTGAAGTTTGATGAGGCATGAGATTTTCGGTCAGCCATCTCAACAATGGGGTCATAGCTAGTCGAAAAAGGAGTGAAACTATACAAGTTTAATAGAATTCTCTTAATAAGTTCTTCAATACAGCGAAAAGAACAAAATAAAGATATGAAAGTAGATTAAGCAAAATTACTGGAATGGATTTCGCGTGATTAGTATTTGAAAACATTGAGGATTATAAAATGACGAGAAAAATAAACAACTAGAAGGAATCATTCTAATTAGCTCATTGAAATGAATCTGGTCATACGATCTTTTATGATTTCTATAAAACCAAATCGAAACTTAGAGTATGGTCTTCTATCAGGGCACAAGATCGTATGAAAATTGTATAAGATCTTGAAACTATCTTATATGCAAAGCCTAAAGTCACATTTCTAATAAAGCGTACAGTACGATTTTTGTGCAATCTTCTTCTGATATCCTATAATACTCATCAAAAACTTTATGAAATTCTTGGCTGCATCCTATTGTTGAATCTCTCGCAATATTGCTCACCAACTCGCCATTTTCTACTTCACAATCACCTATTTTCTGCTCTAAACAGCTTTGCTGTCGAAAAAACGAACGAAACTGTGCACTCACTTGAATAATTGCTAACTCTTCACCATGTTGCTCGTGTTCAACCGAAATAAGATAAATACTTTTTATTCCAAAAGTTTATATTTACCTTTGACGACTTTCTTGAGGTTTGTCTAAATTAAACAAGATTAACTAGATAATAAAATTTATTCTTACCTATTCAAGATGTCTTTCAGCTTCACCTAAATAGAAAAAGATTGATACAATAATAAAATTTATCCTTATCTGTAAGACATGCTGGTCAGCATTATCAAAAATAGAGAAAGATGAGTTTAACAGTAAAGTTTTTGTCTGATGAATAAGAAATGCTGTTCAGGAGGGTGTGGCTGTGAGTCGGTGTGGAGTGTGGAATATGGGTCTAGGTCAGAGTGGGTGTGCGAGGGTATGTGTATGGAGCTTCAGTTCAATCATATGTACACCCAAATCCACACCCACACCGTCAGTTTTTATCTTTTGCATAACAGAAGATCAATGTGAGTATTTATTAAATCAATACCCAAACGTTTTTGGAATTTATAAAAAATCTTGGTGATTTATAAAAAGCAATAAAAGAACAAATAAATCTGTTTTATAAACAAATATAAACATTTTGTTTTTTTGACCAACATCAAAAGTTAACGAAATGTTTATCAAAAGAATCAGCAAACTTTCTGTGGTTTCAATTATTTCATTTTATTCTTGTTCATCTGCAAAAAAATCAACAAGCAAACAAGCAAATGATTCAAATGTGTAAAGAATGTTACCATAAAAATATTTAAAAAAATTGATTTAATTAATGACTTCGAGAAAAATTATCAATCAGAAGATGCTATTCGTCGATATACGAAACAATCATTTGTTTTTAAATTAATTAATAAAGCATTACAAACCAAAGATAATGAATTATTACATAAATTTGGATTTTTTATTGGTAATCTTTGAGAAAACCTTGAACATCAACATGAGAAGATTTTGTCATCAGAAGAAAATACTTTAAATATTTATCAAGAAGTTTAACTCGACAAAGAAGAATTTGTCAAATTAAAAGAGTATCAAGATAAATTTATTTCAATAAATGGATATGCATTAACTAATCGATAAAAATTATTAGCACTCGATTTTGCAAAGAAACGAAGAAAAAGAACTTATATCATTCCTGTTCTTTTGCATATTCAATATGATATTAAAAAGGTTGATAAAACAATTATTTATGGGGATACGGATCAACTTAGTGAATATCCAGATGAACACGGAGTTTTATTTGATTTAAATGCATGTTTTGAAATTGAATCGATCGGAGAAAATAAATCATTATCAATAATAAAAATGAATCTTTCAAATGAAGGACGAAAAATTACTAAAGATTTTATTGAATTAAAACAAAAACAAACAAAAAAAATAATGCATCCATTATTTTTGGAAGATTATTGTGTAATTTAAGTCAATATGATAAATCATAAAAATATTTTCAACAATTATTGAATGATTCAAATGATGAAGATCGTGCTTGGATTGAATATAATATTGATCGTGTTCTTGCTCTCAAAGAAGAATGGAAAAAAAAAACTCGAGAATATGAGGATCGTGCATATGATCAAATGATGAACAATAAATCAGCACGAACCAAAGATTCTGCACATGTTCTCAACAATATTGGTCTTATTCTCTATCGACAAGGAAAATTCGATGAAACTATTGATTGTCATCAACGAGCGCTAAAAATTCGAGAGAAATTATATCCTTTCGTACATGCTGATATGGCTAAAAGTCTCGGTAATATTGGTAACATTCTCTCCGATCAAAGAAAGTACAATGAAGCTCTTGATAATCATCAACATGCATTGAAAATTGAAGAGAAATTTCATCCATTTGGCCATGTCGATATTGCTCACAGTTTGAAAAACATTGATATTTGCTACCAACATCTGAATGACCGATACATGACACTTGACTATTATCGACATGCATTGTCTATTTATGAAAAGTTTCTTCCTCATGAACATCCATGTCGACAGAAAAGCGAACACAATATTTGTCGACTTACTGAAGAATTCTGCTCTCGTTCAATGTTACAGTGAACAATAAAATTTCACTATCGATATAATAATATTTTGCTAAAGTATTCAAATGTTTGTTTTTGATTGTTAATATTCGATAGTTATTGATTTATAGCTTTGATCAATTAACATTTTCAATTAAATTTTCTTTATTGTATGAGGGTCGAGATCGATAAAAAAAACTTGAAATGATAAATAAGATTTACTTTTTGTGAATGTGGATGTGTGTATAGATAAAATGAATACCAACACCCACACCTACACTCTCGACAAATTTCAAAAATACGAACATTTGGATGAATTTTTTCCATGCACTCAAAACATTCTAAATCCATGGAGTTCAGGCAACAACTCTTCAATGATTTATTTATTTTTTATGAATATAATTTTTTCCTTTTTTAAATTGTTTATGTAAGTTTTCTTTCACTTTATTCTCTATATGACTAATTAATGAATTAAATAAAAGATTCCTTTTTTTTAATTGTTGCTGGCTTTCATTATTCTTCTTTTACGAATCTATTTCCAAATCCCAATAAAATACTTTTAGACAACAAGAAAAAGAGGATGAAGAAATCCATGTTTTCTGTCTTTCATCAAAGTGTTCAACTGTCGACAACGACGAGAATAAACTATGAATTTGAATAGATATTAAATTTTTGTACTCGATAATTGTACTTATCGACTACATAAAGATTACCGTGTCGATCGAATGATAAATCCCAGGGACAATTAAATTGATTCAATTCACTTCCTTTACCATTTCCACCAATAACGACACTTTCCTGTGCGGCTACTTCTGACCAATGCATAATTCGATCATTTTCTTGGTCAATCACATAGACAGTACCCGATTGATCGACAACAACTCCGTAAGGATATGACAATTGTCCAAGACCAGTTCCTTGGCCTTGACCACCGGCTACGACAATTCCTTGTTTCGCATCTTCTTTCCATTTCATTATATGATGATTCGAATACTCAGGTGGGTGTCAATGAAGGCAATACCCACATCTACACACAAATCCACCCCATACCCACACCCGCCCACCCGCACCCACATCTTGCTTTTTCGCCGGATGAAAAAACACATATTTTGTCATTCATTGCGCTTATGTGCTCGTTTTACATTAATTCATTGTTTTACAACATTAATTTTATTTTCTCAAAATACAATAACTATTGCAAGAGATCTTTCTATTGTCAAAAGTTCTTCGTTTTATAAATGAACCATTCTTCGTAGACGAGAAATCTTCTGTCTTATTGCTACTAAAAGCTTGAAAAGTGCTTTTCGAAATGTATTTCCACCAACTAATGTATAAATATAAAATGGCATTCCATTAGCCAAAAAATTCAGAAGTAAAACTAAACTGTAGATAAAATTGTCGATAGCCACTTGTATGTTAGTTGATGGTCTATACATTGTTATTGTTGCATACAATTTTTGAATACCCAATGGGAGACCAAATATAATAAGAAGTAAAATTTGTAGAAGAAGCATCATGAGAAGACGATAATCGTTTTTATTTAAGTGTTGTCTTCGTTTTGCCCTGTTTGATACTATAGTAGTTGCAGTTGATGTATTTCCTGGTTCAATGTGACTTCGTGATTGACGTATATTATTGATTGTCATCAATCCAAATATTAACATAAGGAATACAGGAATAAAAATACTTACAAATGTAAACGTTAAATCTGTGACAAGACGACACAGTACAGTTGCTCCATAGCATTTCAATGGTGCATTTATTAAATTTGGTTCATAGCAATAGAGAATATTACAAAAGATAATAATTGACAAAATAAAAACAATAATTATACTACGTTTAGCATTTTTCAATGTGCTCATCTGTCGATAACGAACATTTGCGCTGGATAATAACCATCGATCAATGGCAGCTAAAAGAATCAGCCAAAATGCTACTGGTCTTGCAACATTTAGAACAAAAGCTCGAAGTTTACAAAGACATCTATCTGTATTTGTTAAATCAGCAGCCCAACCAGATAATGTTCTTGAAGTAAGACCAGTGAGAATTGCAATTAAATTAGCGATAGATGAGACTAGAAAAAATATTGCGCATGGATTTGAACGAAATGATCGTTGAGATAAAACGAGAATATTAAGAATATTTCCCGTTGTTCCAAAGAGAAATATAAATATTGAAAAATAACGATTGAATTTAGTTGACACATTGTTAATATATGCGATAAACTGAGCATCAGATGACATCTTAGAAATTTAAGGGATCTAGTATAATCTTAACACAAAAAGAAATCTTAATGATTAATACATTCTTGTTTTTATCTTATTTTCAATTATCTCATCTCTTTAAAGATTAAAAATTGAGGATGATGTCGCAGAGACTATGTATTTTCCAAATTTTGCATTGGCATTCAAACTAAAATTAGACATCTACTTATTAAGGAAAAATCAATTAATAAAATATATGTCACACATCTCTCAACTTTTCAAGTCAAACATTTGAATTTCAAGACATGAAAGAACGTTATTTGGTTATTTCTACCCATTGTTTTTAATGGATATTCTTAGAAACAAAGGCTACAATGAAAAGAAAGCCACGAATGTATTATAGGCGAAGATATTATTTTCTTTGAATGAAATGGAAAATTTTTCTTAGTATTCCCTGATACTTACCTGAAATAGAATATTGAAATTAAATATTTTCTCACTCAACTTCAGTATCTTCTCGACTGTGATCCATTTTAAATGATAGAGCTAAAAATTTAGTTCTACTAGCACTCACCGCCACTCAATATGTAAACAATCTTATATAAATACGAAGGAAATACGTTGTTAATCACCTACTTTTACTCTTTCAAAAGTCATTTTCACAAGTTTTTCTATTATAAAATGAAAGTTAAATTGAAAAGATAATCACTTTCAATTCATTAAAAATTTTGTCACTAAAACTCACTTGTTCTACTTATTCAAGGGTTATTAATCTGTATGGACAACATTGCAACAGAAAAATGAGTTTTTATGAGAAAGTGTGAATGAAATGTAAGTGGTGGATATTCACTAAGACTCTTCTTTTATAATGGAAAAACGGGAGACAGCAGGTGATTAATTTCTGTTAGCGATGATTCGCCGTCATCCTCTTCTCGACCTGTTTCTCTCTATTCTCTTTCTCTTTCTTCTTTACTGGTATTGTTATATTTTCTTTGTTCTCTTCTCTCTTATGATGATGTATATATAGATAACGTTTTAAGGACATTTGGAGAGTTAGATTAAAAATAAATAAGGTCAAGTCCGTCGATACGAGCTAATAATAACATATTTTCTTCGTCTGTTTATGACTTTGTTCAGACATGGAATGAGAGTAGGTGTTAGTAGATACGGTTTCTCTGAAGCACGATTGTTAATTAGTTTTGAAGTGTACAGCGAGAAAAGTGATTTCCTAGTCCGACGAACAGACTTTGACAGATACTTCGGCATGCTACTTCTTTGACTAGCAACGCAGTCAAGATTTTTCTTATAGGAAGCTGAGCCCCAGGCTTCGTGCGTATGTCATTATCTTTGAGCCAATGCGAACTGTGATAAATCTATCAAGGATACTTGTTTTTGTGAACTAATTTGCTCCATTGAGTTTCATATTTTAAATCCTTTTCGTATTCCATCATTTATAATGCATAGAAAATTAAAAATATATCACAAACGAACATAATCTGAATCATATTCATTTAGATTTATATCATTTAAATAGCAAAATATAGGTATCCATGTTAATTTTTCAGAGTTTCTAGACAAAAATGTTTTGTTTTCGAAATGTATTATCAAGCCAGACAAATTTTCTTTGTAATTAGTATTTATCAGAACAGTCATTCCCTAAGTATTTCACTATTTAACGTCAAATAGGAGAAAATATCGTTTAAAAAAATAAGTACTGTCTTTTATTATCCGATAAGCCGAGCGATTAGAGCAACATATAAATTATTAATAATACATTACATATAAATTAAAAAAATTCTTGAAGATGAAAAAAAACATCAAACATCTACAATTTGTTAAATTGCATTGGACACCATTACGTAGAAGAAACGGTAATGAAATTTCATTCATTGAAAATATGTAGATTAAGTCTTACATTCAGAAAACTGCAAATAACAATAAATAAAATATTTTCTCTCTCATCTTTTTTTGACAACATACAATCCTTCTTAGCAGATGAATTTATCTCAAGCATGAGTCTCAGAATTTCAAGGACATCGGTATCGACTGTTGAACTGTGACGAAAAAGTCTGTACATCAGTTTTCGAACAAGAAACAAGTTTTTTTTTGTATTCACAATAATAACATATGTGTTTATGATTCAACTTACTATATTAAAAAATAACGGAAGTAGAATTAGTTTTCGTCAAACAAGTAGTATATCGATGGAGAAAAAGATCTTGTTCGAATCATGCAGCTTCTAGAAAATATTCTACAATAACAAGAGAGATTAGTCTTATTTTAACCTAAAAACGATCAGACTATTCAACTCAAAATATTCATGCTCAATATTCTATGTATAGAACGATGAAGAAATCCTTTTCATCACACATCTAGATCTAAGCTCACAAGAGAAATATGTTTAGAATGATGAAAGAAATAGAAAGAATACGTGTCAATGAAAAATTCACTTTATTAATGCTCTGGTGATATTTTTGGCATAATAAAAAAAGAATTATTTGAAAATATCAACGAAAACTGTTCAAAAAAGAATAAAAACTGAATCAAATGCATTTTTTGACACAGATTTTATGCCAAAAGCTTTTTTGTTATTATGAAATATATGAAACTACCTAGTCACATAGAATTGAAAATTTATTTTGTTGCAGAAAAATTTTAAACATACAACGTAAAAACTCATCTTGTCCTGCATATTTTCATTTGTTTGTTCTAGTACTCTATCATAAGCTGATTTAGAACATAGATGATACTATGCAAATGATGTATTAAAGCAAACATGAGATTGTATTTCGTCCCTAACATAAGCTGATTTAGAACATAGATGACACTGTGAATAACGTATTAAAACAAGTAAAAGATTTTATTTCATTTCTATTATAAGCTGAATTAGAACATAGATGATACTATGCGAATGACGTAGTAAAACAAGCAAGAGATTTTATTTCGTTCAGTGAAATAGAGTAGATAGGAGCTATTCTGAACGCTATGCTAAAAATATAGTAATATTCAAGTGTTTATATTTGATCACTTTCCAAACAAACACAACATCGGATTGAAAATTACCTGCTAGGGAAATTATAGATAATCTAGTTTTGAACATTTGGATATCAAATTCTGTATTATTCGGATGAATAATCAATATTGCAGCAACAAAAAATAAAGCATGTTCCAGTAATCAACATGTATTGATGATTTATGTATTGCTTTTTGTACTGGATTTAAAAAAAACAGATTAACATTTCTATATTTCAGACTTTTATGAGTTCTCAAATATATAATAAATTATAATTGACAAAAACCGAAGAAAATAAATTAAAATAATGCGAAAATAAGAGACTAAGTACCATTCTGGTCGAAAACGTCAATATTAACTAATCTTATTTGTTTTAAAAACTATGAATCTAACATATAAATAGTTCAACTATATGCAAAACATAGATGATAGATTTCATCTAAATCAACGTGGCTCAAATCAGATTGTAATTATAACAGATGTTTCGATAAAGACAGGACATCGATTGGCCCTCAGTGTCTTACAACATAATGGATAACTATTCGTTTATTTGTGGTAGGAATCAGTATACACCTTCGTTAATATGTACATTGCGATGCAACGTGTAAAAACAGTAACAATATCACATGACAACCGTCCACCAGTTAAAAAGATTTTAGCATATTTTAATACTTAAAATGCCAAATGGCTGAGTTTTGTACATAAAAAAAGAATGATATATTCTTAGATATACTACGAAACGCTTTAATGGAACTGCAAAGATATGTGAATCTGCCATCATAAACAATGGGTGATTCTTTCAGAGTGTACCAGAGTTTACATCGACTTTATCTGAATGAAATGAAACTTTCAGAGCTTGTAGTACTTGATATTCTGATCTAAAAACTCATCTTCAAAAAATTTCAAAACGATGCTGTGTAGCTTTCGATCACCAACTCCAGGTGTATTTCCAGCCAAAACCTGATTTCTCGATTTTCTTTGTTTCACATGATAGAAAACTGAAACTTTCACAGTATGCACTATATATGTAGTTAATAAAACAATCATTTCATTCAGTGGAAATTTTTTTCTCTGATGTTTTCTTCCTATTGAAAATTTTCTCATAAAAATCGACTTTTTCGCAATTTTGGAAGCATAATGGCTTCGGCAAGAAACAAGAGTTAGTTATCCATTTTCTACGCGTTAGAATCGTATTTGAACATACAATCCAGTTATGAGACTTTGAAAGATTTCAAATCAAAGCCGGCCTCTATAGAGGGAATTTTAGGGGATGGATTTTGACTGTTTCCTAAACTTTTGAGCTGTCTACTGCGAAAATTGAGGATTCATGTGGATGGGTGTAGGTGTCGGTATGTGAATGGGTGTGGCACTGGGTATCAGGGGGTGTAGGTATGGATGTGGAAAAAGGTGTTGGTATCTCTTTCACTTAAGAACCACACCCACATCCATACCCTTAGACAATCATTTGTAAATTACGTGAATAAAGCCATGAATAAGAAATGAATTTCTTGTATTATTATTAAGCTCACTTAGAATCAAGAAAATCAGGAAGAATAATTTTAATAAAGTAGTCATATATTGCACATTTTTATGATGTCTGTCAACAACACTTATAATATTGTCTATTCGAAAAGCATATTGATTACCTTCCATTAAATATTTCAAGTAAATTTCAAGTAACTTTTTTCGTTCTGGCAAACAGTGAAATTTTATTTAAAGTGTTTTCTTATGATAGAGAATGATTCTACACTCAGCTATCGATGATCATATAATTCTGACTAGAAAATCTGTGAAAAAACAAAAAAGATTTATTCAGGTTTAATTATATAATGAAAAATAAATTTCATGATAACACGACTAAGAAAAACTATTTTCCTACGAATATTTTATGGATGTTTAATAAGATTATTGATCAGTATAGAAATCTTTTTCATGTGTGAGAAATAAAAATAAAAATAAAAATCCCGATCGACATTGACCGTTCATTATTGTAACGAATTAAGATATTAATTATATTTATAGAATA